GAATGAACCCGAATGAACGATAGACTCTCTGGTGGGGCTGGGTTTTTGACTTGCTGAAAATTATCGTCCTGACCTCCGACACGGAGGATTTTCAGAGGATTCGTTTCGCGTATCACGAACACAGTTGATCTTGGATGTAATATGTATTCACGGATATTTCTCTATTTGGATTGTTTATGGCGTCACCATAGGTAAACTGAACTATCGCCGCGTGACGTAACGAATTCTCGCGCGAGGTGTACGGTAGGCCAGGACATTCTCTCGTCGCGGTTGGAAGGATAATTCTCTCGTTGAGACGGGAGAGGAAATGCGTTTAAATGCATGTCTATCCGACGTGGAAACGAGCATCTTTGTCCGTGGGATGATCTCTGCCCTCGCAACTCGGTTTTTCGCGCACATCAGTCATCGTCTCATGCACGCGCGCACGCACACATTACACGCGATATACACACGGAATAATACATCGCACGGATTTAACGAGTCTTTTTCTTTGTGGCTAACGTCTGTCAGTACAATCGGTAGTTGACTTTTCTCGCTCGCTTTCTCTCTAACCCTTTCTCGCGATCGTTTCGTGAACCGTTGGTCGTACTCGCTCGTTTTTGAAGCCTCGTCTCCGTTCGATCGTACCTCGACACCCTTGCGATTCACATTGTTCTCTAGCTTCTGATTCTCTGTCGGTTTCTCGCGGGCCCTTCGAGATCAAAGATCGAATTATTGGAAAAGAACGAAAATTGAAAGGATATTGTTTCGCTTGTTTTGCACGAGATTATTATCTTTTTTTTTTTTTTTTCTTATTTCGCGCGTAAAGTTGGAACTCTTACAAATTGGAAAATTTTTATGTCTGAAAGCTTATGTTAGGAAATTAGAAATGTAAATGTGCGATTTGAATTTCGATTTATTTTCGAACGGAGATCGTCAAAAGATTGATAGGATTTCTAACAGGATTGCCAGGATTTCGAAGAACTAATAACTCTTTGCAATCGACGACGTTCGTAGTAAAGTATTAATCGCTCGTTTTTATATGTGACAAATTTAATTAAATGTCCACTTAACTAATTTCGCCAGAGAACATATTTCTCCAATGAAATAAAATTTTGGAAACCCACGTTCTCAGAACTGCCACAATCATAAAGAGTTATAAGGGTCCTCTATAACATTTAGAACTTACATAACCATGTATCTATATTTTTTCAACACTTATTTCGTTTACTTACGTTACATATTACTATATTTCACCGCTTACACGATATACATTTATTGATCAATTAATTTGTGAAATTAAAATAAGGAACATCAATTGCTTCCGCGTTGCAAGCAACTTTATGACGAATTCATTGGAAATATTATTCGAGAAGGATTCGTGCATCTCACGATAGTTCGTTCAACTATGCAAAACGTCGGATCAGCCCGTAGGATCATTAGATAGCATTTATCAGTCTGCGAAGCACGATAGTCGCTGGGATGATCGTGGGCTGGATATCTCGAAGAGCCTTCGAGGATTCGTGACGCTAGAATGCAAGGATCGCGTGCACAGGCGTTTCACGATCGAGAGAGAGATCGAGGCGAATGAAGGAAGAGAAGAAACCGAGGTGAGCCGAGGTAAAAAAACGCGGCGAAAAAGAACCAAGAGGCGCAGACCTGTGGTGAACGCAGAAACAATCATTTCGGACACGACTGACAGAGGTTTCTCGAGAAGTTTCGAAAACGGATGATAAATCGTAAAAAAGTATTTGCATTATCGTTATAATATTGGCATGATGTCGTTATGGCACGTTTCAAGTTTAAATGTGTATCGGTCGACGCGTATTACAAGCTTTTTTTTTTT